CTGGCCAGTCGCGTCTGGGCTGCTGCCCAGCTGGTGCTATCCCGCAGTGGCCCGGGGCAGAGGCATCGGCAGCCCAGCCCCGTTCGTTCCCCTGCGGGACCCGAGCGGGACGGGGGGGCTGGGGCCTGCTGCCCCCACTCCAGGTCCGCCGTGGGATTGCACCAGCTGGGCAGCAGCCCAGACGCGACTGGCCAGGGGCTGGGCGCAGCGTGCGCGCTGCTGGGTCCCCGCAACAGGCCCGGGCTCGGGGGGTTCGGGCCCCGGCGCCAGAGCCGCAGCCGCCGAGCTTGGCCATCGGCCGCTTCCTCCCCCCACGGCAGTGGGAGCTGCAGCAGCGGCTGCTCCCGAGTCCCGCTGCCCAGGGGGGGAGAACAGCCGCCGCTTGGCCCCGCGGGCTGCCCCCCTACTCTCCCTACCGCCCAACTGAGTCCTGCCTGCTCGGGGCCAGGCCGGACTCTCAGGGCTGGTCCACACTGGGGCGGGGGATCGATATAGGAAACGCAACTGAAGTCGACGTTTCCTATATCGAACTAAAAGTACCTACTTCGGGTCCACGCGGCGCAGGCAGGCTCCCCCGTCGACAGCGCTTCCTCCTCTCGGCGAGCAGGAGTTCCGCAGTCGATGGGGGAGCGCTTCTGGGATCGATCTATCGCGTCCAGATGAGACGCGGTAAATCGATCCCAGAAGATCGATCTCTACCCGCCAAATTAGGCAGGTAGTGTGGACCAGCCCTCACTCACGGCACCGCGCTTCCCTTGCGTCTCCGGGGCCTCCCTCCAGCACTTGTGGAGGAGGGTTTTTTGTTTTTTGTTTTTGTTTTTTGCTCTGCCACCTTTTTTTTTTTTTTGCCCCCCCGCGCCCCCCCCCCCCCCCACGTCCTGATATTTGACCTGGGTGATCTGGTCACCCTACCTACAGACATCCTCTGGGTCCCCAGGGTCTCCCATGCCTACCTCAACTCAGCATGTCAGCAAAGCTTCTAAGCTCAGCAGAATTTCTCTGGCCCCCCTTGGGTCTTTCTTTGAGTCATCTGCCCCCTACTTCTCAGCTCCCCCAAGTTCCATACCTTGATTCCAACTTCTGGTCCCAGATATTCTTCCCTGCAGACTTTTTGAAGTCTGAAGGATCTGCTGTGAACATTAGTAGATTCCACATTGGGTCAGTGGTTCCTGCAGACCTGTTAAGGTCTGCAGCAGATTCTGTGGACTTCAGAAAGTCCACAGGGATGCAAAACTGGGAGAAGCAGCAGGAATCAAGGTTTGGAGCATGGGAAAGGAGGGAAGGCTGGTGAATAGTAGGAAGCTGATTTCCAGAGGATAGCTGGGAAACCAAGGTCATGCAGAGTTTCTCAGCTCCACAGAGTTCTTTGAACTCTGGCTCCTCATGGTTCCCAGGGCCCTGCAGTTCTCCTGGTTTACTTGGTCCCGTTTCCTATCAGAACATAGGGGCTTCAGCAGGTTTCCTCCTGTCTGCCTGTCTTGTTCCCTATGTATGTCATAACCATGTCAAATTGTTAAAAAAACACAGGAGCTCTCCAGACAAAATTCCTTTGTTAAGGTGGAGTTAAGGTTGAGAAGATATACAGGAAGACACAAGAGAGCATAAAACAAAATTTGGATTAAAAACACAGCAAGAAAAGTATTTTGAAATATTAACGGAAAGAAAACAGCAATTTCATAAAAAAAAAACACACAGACAAGCACAGGTGGACAGAAAGATAACCACAATCAATAATATTTTTTTTTAAATATAAAAAAATTACATTAAAAGAAAAATAAGAATAAAAAAACGTGTGCTAAAAATGAGGAAAGTGAAAACAACTATGAAAGAATTGATTTGTAATTTAAAAAAAGTTCCAGTAACCACTTTAGAATTATAAATTATTTTCCAAAGTTGATATTTTTGATTCATATAAATACATTCTGGAATTTAAAGGAAATTATTGATCAACTCATGCAGGAACAATTTAGCATTAAAATTTAGATATTTTTATTTTCTAAATAATATTAAAGTAAAATTAAAGTTCAACGTTTTAACCAGATATATGCATCATTATTTTTTATCCATAATTACATAGTATAAAACTTTTGTGAAAAACAACAAGGAAATTCCTCCAGAAGAACACTATGCTGTGTAACACTGAAGGCTGTCCAGATACAACCACTAACATTAAAAATCTAGGATGTACACAGACATTTCAAACACTCTGTAGAGTAATCAATCAAAATGTATATAGACAGAGCACATTCTTCATTTGGCCCTATTCAACGTGTGTGTGCTTCGTCAAAATTATAAGGAAGCACCATGCCAAAACAGGTTGAAACCTGCCCGGTGACAACACTTGCCTACAGCCTTCAAGCTGTTCCCTTCTTATCTAGGGCTTGATCCAGCAATGTACTAAGTGCTCCAGCTCAAAACACTACACATGCTTAAAGTTCTTAAGTATGTGCTAAGTGTTCTGCTCTGTCAAGCGAAAGTGGTCAGCACTAGAGCCATGCAGATAGTGAAGTTTTGGGTTTGCTGGTGATTCCAAAAAAATTGTTTTGAGTCACCCCAAACCAAAATTTTGAGCAAATTGAAAAGTAAAAAAAAAAAAAAGTGTTTTGGATTGAACAAACTGTTTTGTTTTGATTTCGAGAAGTTTTTAAAATATATTTGCATGTGTAAAAAAATTAAATTGAAGGAAATTTCTAAACAAAAAGTCATTTTGATTGGAAAACTCGAAAAATGTCAAAATGAAACGCTTCAACTTTTGGGGAATTTTGGGGGGGAGGGATTTTTTTATATAAACAATTTGGTGAAGTGGACACAAATTTGCAAAATGTTTCAGTGTTGCCAAATCTGCATTTTTCACCCAAAAAAGGTTGGTCAAAAGATTTCGCTCAGCTCTACTGGGCATCTTGCAGGACTCAGCCCCTGGAGCCTTGTTTTCAAAACAGTTCTTCACACAAAGATTGTCATGATTGCTTCCCTATTTTCAAAGGGATGATCTGGTGGCCCCTTCTGGCCTTGAACTCTATGACTCTATAATTTGTTATGTCTGGATCTAGTCATTTTTCTAAGGCCTGGTCTACACTTACCCCCCAATTCGAACTAAGGTACGCAACTTCAGCTACGTGAATAACGTAGCTGAAGTCGACATACCTTAGTTCGAACTTACCGCGGTTCAGACACGGTCCACACGCGGCAGGCAGGCTCCCCCGTCGACTCCGCGGTACTCCTCTCATTGAGCTGGAGTACCGCAGTCGACGGCGAGCACTTCCTGGTTCGATTTATCGCGTCCAGACCAGACGCGATAAATCGAACCCGGAACTTCGATTGCCAGCCGTCGAACTACCCGGTAAGTATAGACCAGCCCTAAGGGATATAAGAAGTTCGGTGACTATGCATGTGGCCATCTTTGAATTTTTTAAACCAATCTACTGATATAGTGAACTGCCTACTGTCATCATTTCATTTTTACTTCGTCAACTTTATTCAGGAGAGTTCTAAGTAGTCTGTCGTCTATAGAAGTTGTAATATTAAAATATAAGAAGACCCTTGTTCTCTTTTCATGTCATTGCTAGCATTTCATTTTCTGTCTTTATGAGGTTTGCGTACACACTAGCAATGTGTATTGATGGTCCATGGAGTGTTTAATCCGCAGCCCAGGGTTTGTCAATGAAAAATGGTGAACAGGCTTTGAGCCTGCTCGTTGTCTATTTATGACTTTGTTAAGTATGTCTTTTTGTGTAGACTGCGAGATGGACAGATTTGCAGAATAGCAGTTCAACAAAGAGTAAAGTATTCTTGTGTTTTTGGTCACTGATGATTTGAAACGCTTTGTTATGGCTGAAGGAGGTTGTCTCAGATTTTTTCCTATTTCATACTTACATGCCTATAGGGACAGAGTTAAGGTTGTTTTGGTGAAATGTTTGCTTATACATCATGGATGAGCACACACGTCGAATGGGGCTGGATTCAGACTGTGTTTCTAGACCATAAATTGTTGACTGGTTGCTGAGTACTGGTTGCTGAGTAGCATGTTTGACATAATGCAGTTGTGGGTTTCTGAGTTTGTTAATGCTCTGAGTTGGTGGCTTTTGTATTTGAGCAATCTGAACAGTTATACAACATGGTGTTCTTGTGTTGGAACAACCTAATGACTATGGATGTCAGGTCTCTTTAAAAATGTAGATCAGGTTTTTTCTTTTGTTTATTACAAGTGAATTATCACTCTGAAGGAACAAGGAGTCTGGTGGCACCTTAAAGACTAACAGATTTATTTGGGCATAAGCTTTCGTGGGTAAAAACCTCACTTCTTCGGATGCATACCCACGAAAGCTTATGCCCAAATAAATCTGTTAGTCTTTAAGGTGCCACCAGACTCCTTGTTGTTTTTGTAGATACAGACTAACACGGCTACCCCCTGATACTTGACACTCTGAAGGAGTCCTCTTCCAATCACTGACACTGGCAAAGACCACTAAACTTCCAGCCTGAAGGAGTCATATCACCAAATCATCTTCTTATTGTTATTCACATAGTGCCACTGGTGCACCCAGTCTGTTCAAACACATAGGAGGACAAGATCTCAGTCCTGAAGGAGCATGCAGCCCTAAATAAGACAGATACAACAACAATAAAGGATCAGGTGCAGGAGTAGGAGCTAGCTCTGCTCTAGAGACCAGTGAGGGAAGGCTGAGGGAAGGAAGTATGTTTGAAGAAGGAGAGGGAGGCTGCTTGGCATACAGGAAGAAGGAGAAGCTTTCCAAGTGTAGAGGAGAGATGCAAATGGGAGAAGGCAAAGGAAGCACTAAGGAGAGAAGGTTGGGGAGGGGAGTGTAGGGTGTAAAATGGGATGGGGGATGAAATGAACAGAGATGTAGGCAGGAGCAGAGCTGTGCAGAGCCTGAAAGCTGAGAATGGTGAGCTTTGTTACACCTGATAAAGAAAGAGGAAGCCAATGAAGGGAATGGAGGATGGGGTGCCATAGATAAAGCAACAGGGAGGAGAAGATGATGTTAGTTAAGGTGTTGGATAGATTAAAGGTGAGAGAGGGAAGAAGCAGAGAGGCCAGAAGGGAATAGGTTATAGTAGTGACGGTGAGAGAGAATCAAAAGCATGACACTGGCATGGACTGAAAGTGGCATGCTTATCCCTGGCATGAAAGAGCCTTCACACTATTTAATTAGGACAATCTTCATTAGCCCTAGATTGAGGGGGCCTTCTCCTCATCCAGCATCAGAGCACACTCTGTTGTCTCCAGACTAGGGATTTGTGTGCACAACATTTAGTTTGCAGCGAGGTGGGGTGTGAATCCACACCGCACTAGCCTGATGTGGGCTGTCTGTCTGCATGGACCCTACTGAAGGTCAGAGAGGACTAGATTAATGAACTGTTAATGCATGGCAGCAGGTCCACAGGGAGAGTCCGTCTGCCAAAGGCTAGTGCAGGCTAGATTCGTACCTCAGCTTGCCACGAACTAATTGTTGGTGTATGGGATTTTTCCCCACTGCTCTGTCTCTGGGGCAGACTATTATCCCCAGACGAAGGAAGTCCTCTCCTGGCACTGACTCAGTGAGCCCTACGCTCAAGGAGCCTGGTGCCAGACTCTGACCCTGGGACAGACTCTGGATTCCCCTCTCCATCTTTCACACCAGGGGAGTCTTGATCAGGGACCCCATCATCTGGACTGGTCCCTGGCAGCTCCCAGTTTTCATTTCCGTGCTTTACTAGAAGTGGGTTGTCTCACCAGGCCTAGCTCTGGGTTAGGAAATACATAGTATAAATAAAGGAATTTTTTTTAAGTCAATCTCAGGTGTATGGGCTCTCTCCCTGCACCCATCCAGCCTTAAAACAGCAGGATTGGTTGAGAAATAGATTCAGGCCATATCCTGTGACAGCTTCTTTCTCCTCCTGTAGGTTCAGCTGGCTGAAATGGAAGGCTTATCCCTCAACTCAGACAGGTCTTCTTCCATCCTGCTAGGGGATGATTTAGACAATCGCAGCATCTGTCAGTTGAGTCCTAAGGAGACCAAGGTAGGAGCATCCTAGGTATTTGGGATATATGCATACACAGTGGGAAGCGTGTGCATCCTCCCAGGTCCTGAATGACACGTCCTTCCTTGAAAGAGCCACCATTCCTCCTAGCAGTGGTTTGGCAAGAACCCATTCCTCACTCAGGGCATGGGAGTGAATCCCTTGAGGGTCTGGCTTTTCCCAGTGGAGGAGGTTACAAGGAGTGAGTGTCTCCTCTCCTCTTCACTTCTCCGTACTGTCTGAGACAGGGTCCAGCACAGAACTTATGTGCACACAGCACAAACCATGGGAGGGGCCTGCATCTTGGAACACGACCACAACATCTGTTGGCCAGCTGATCGGGTACATGTTCCTCTTAATGTGCCGCACTCTGTACCTCTGTCCCAGCGCGGCCTGGAGTGCCATGTATTCCCCTACTGATCACACTTCACTCTCATGAAGAATGTGAGTGTCAGACACTTAGCAGCAACTCCTCCCCTAGAGACTTATCACTCAGACAGATCTGATGAGAACATGGAGGGGGGTGCAAGCTACAGCTCCTTTCACCGCTATCAATGGCTTGCTTTGACTGGAAATATATTTAGGGGGATGGGGATGTAACCCTTTGGAATGTCCATTTGCTAATATGAATGTGCACTGTCCAGGTATCTTCATAATCCACCCCATCTCCAGAGCTTGCTCAGGCAGCTTCACCCCATCCGTGTGATTTTTAATTTCACAAAGGATATCTCTTTAATTTTTTCAACAGGATGGCCAGAACAGTCTTGACTCCACGGGCATGGGAGATTTGGGGGAATGTTTCTTCCCATTAACAACTACAGGTGCTTCTCCAACTCCGGAAAGTTACTTGTGTGAAATGGAGAAAATCCCTTTCAACCCCGTCCAGTCCTGGCTGAAGCATGAGAGTAATCAAGGTAAAGAAAGTCCCCTCCGTTCTCCTTGACAGTGTGGTCGTTTGATGCTCGCTCCACTGACAGTGCAGACTGGTTCAGTTAGTCTGACCTGGCTCTGCTTTATTTCGGTAAGGAATACAGTTGATATGGGATTTCACTAAAGAAGAATTCACTCTCAATTTGCCAATCTCAGTGTGGTGCAGGGCTTAATTTGTAATGAAAGAGGTGCCGGGGCTCAAGCAATTGATTTACATTCATAACTGATGCGGCAAGCTCAGAGGTGCTGGGGCTATGAATTGCCAAACCTAGAGGTGCCGGGGTTCAGTCCTGGCAAGCCCTGGCACAAATTAAGCACTGGTGTGGTGCTTGCTTGGTTTCCCTGGCACCTTTTATAGTGACTATTGTCTTTCCTCAGAGTTGCCCTAGACAGACAGATGTTCACAGTCTTAAAGGACATGATTCTCTTTTACACTAAGGTCCCTTTGGACAGCTGAAGCAGGATGCAAATGAGAATGAGGTCCAAAGACTTCAAAGCCAGTGTCACGTCAGCTAGCAATCGGGTGGATGAACTGTGCTAACTCTGTAGTGTAGACAGTGCCACCATCTCCTGAGGCCATGCTCCTTATCTCTAGGGTCTGTACTTTCATCTGCCTTGGAAACAAGAGTCCTAATTCCACTTCTGAGCACATGTCTCTGGCCTTATGGGGTCATTGAGCTCCCCAGTCACCTTTTTGTGTATTTCCCTTTTCTACTACTCTGCAGGAGCCCAGTTGTAAGTCCGTTGACTTCAGTGGAGTTGCACCTGGGTTAAATTTGGCCTATCATGTCTCAGCCTTTTTCTCCAAGGACATTTATGTGGGGGGGGGGGGGGGACATGTTGCTCCTAGCTCTGATAATGCTTCCGAGTCTGTTACAAACTCTGGTAATTATGTGGAAAGTGGGACCAATGGAATGTGTGAACACTCGGGACTCCGGATCCATGCCTGGGAGTACATGTCACTAAACCCCTTCAGTTTACAGGGCTTACAGGACCCTTACCTTGGTAGAAACAGAGACTCCAAAGTGGATCAATGGACTCTTGAGGTCTTATTTTTCTGTTTTCATTCCACCTCCTTGCCCCACTCTGCCAGTCCCCCCCAGACCCTTCTCTCCAGGTACGTCCAGGCCACTGTTACCTGTACCAGCGGAGTTTTTCCACCCAGCCATCTCTGCCACCCAGACTGGGCAGGAGAAGGTTTCCTGTCCAGGCAGCCTTCCTAAAATCTCTCTGCAGGGTTCATGGGCATCACTGCGATCCCCAAGTGTGAACTGCTCACTACTCCACCAGGTAAGGGCCCTGCTTCCCACCCACCCACTATAGCGGCCCCTCATGTGTACCCAAGCAAAGAGGGAGCTGAGGGGAGGAGAGAGAGAAGAAGGGCTTAGAGCAGACATGCCAAACCCACAGAAATAAAAACAGAAATTGGGCTTGTTTTTGGCTTAATTGGCTTGTGAGTTGCTTGTTGGCTAGTTTTTGTCTCGTTGTAGCTTGTTGCTTCTTTTTTTAATTGGCTCCCGGCAAGCAGGGGCAAGGATGGGGCAAGCGGGGGCAAGCGGGGGAGAGAGTCAGGGGTGCACAGCGAGCCCACCACAGTCCCAGACTGCACGCCGGGGGGATCTAGTCACATAGAGTGTTGGGGTTCTTAGGGATTGGCATGTTTTGGCCTTGTTTTGAAATGGGATTAGCTTGATTTTTGGCTTTTGTGAAAGTTGGGGTGCTTATTTACCACATGAAAGTGCACTGGATCTGGGGGATCAAAGGGCTAGATCACTACTGGGAACAGAGAGTACACTAGGTTGAAGAGTTATTCATAGTGAGTACTAGGGAAGAAGGAGCTGGATGGCACTGGCCCTGTGCCTCCAGAAAACATGCACTGGCCTGGTTTGGGTCACAAGTTAGCTTGACAGCCTCAGTCTAGATCCAAGTAGGCATGAGTTCACATTGGCTCCTGAGCGTTGCCTCCCGGGCTCCTGCTGCTTGGATGGCAGGTATAAAGAGGTAGCCCCAGACACCCCTGTTTATAGGTTTGGTGCTGATCCTGCTAATGGCAGCAGAACACTTTCCACTTAAGGACTTGGTCTGGTGGCGGAGAGGGCATTAGCCCTTGGGTTCAACACATGTAAAAATAGTCTCGGCAGGAGTTAAAGAAGGTGGGTAGGAAGCCAGATGTGTTCACAGGGCCCAAGCAGCGGGGCAATGAAGTCCGAATAGAACTCGAATGGACCTTTCTTCATGCCCACACACCCGGTGCTTGTTAGGTCTGTATCCCATCCAGATGGACTCTGTGTCCCTGGCCTTGTCTCTGTTCATATCCCATCTGGCCTCTATCTCCCAGGTAGATATTGCTGTTTGTCACTTAGGAGACTGAGAAGAACAGAGTATAGAGGGGAAATAAAATGTATTTGAGAAACACAGGTGGTGGAAAGGAGAAGCCATGAGGACTCCCCTGCTGTGCTTATGCTAAGGTGTCTCCTGAATGGCTCATGTTCTGGGCTGCAGGAGAGTGAAGTTGAAGAAGGGTTGGCCTATTCCAGAGGAAGAGAAAATCAGACACCCTCTAATTCACCTATGATAAACCCTGAGGTCTCCAGAACCCTTTGTTATAAACAACTAAAATGTGAAATAACAAAGGAGACCAACAAAACAGAGAAATTAAGGCTGTTTTTCCCTCCCTTTGGGCTCTCCCCATCTCCACATCACCTTATTGAACAATTCTGACCCAACATTTTTTCACCAGAATTTGCCAGTTCATCAAAACCAAAATGTTCTGCGGAGATGGTTGATTTTGATGCAGTCCCGACAGATCCCTGCCTTGTTTCCAGTCAGCACACCCACCCAGCTCCTCAGCAGGGCAGGCTGACACTCCTCAGCAGTGTGGGTTTGCAGGGCATATGCCCCTGGGGCAGCCTTCCAGGTGGATTGCCCCAGAACCCGGCTCCATGGCCTTTGGCAGAGAATTTCAGAATATTTGGTTTGCATTTCAAATCCGAGTGAAACCGAATTTCGAAATACCAAAATCCATTGTGAAATAGAATTACCTTTCTCTGCCCTGCTCCTATTGTGACCTTATCGCCTGATGGTGACAATGGAACAGACAGTCCCACAGCTCAAAGGCACCCGTAGAGGCTGAATACAGGGTCAGAGATGTTCTGGCCATCTAACTGGTGCTTTATAGGAGCCCTTCCAAGTGGACTGTAGCTTGCCACATTTCCGTCTCACCCCAGTTGCCCCAGATGCAAGGAACTGAGATTGAAAGCTTTCCCTTTGTTGCATATTGTTCTCTCAGGCCACGGAGAGCGACACCTCCCTCGATGACAGCAGGAGCAGTAGCTCAGAAGGCAGCTTGCAGACCACCCTGGAGGACAGCTTGAACCTTAGCGACTCACCCCAGTGCACCCTGGACCTCCCGGTGGCATTGTGCCCGATGCCAACGGCTGCCACCCAAAGAACCATGGCAGCTCCGCTTTCCCCTGCATCCCGGAGGCGGAACCTGCGGGGCCGCGGGATATTCAGCCTGCAGAACATCAGGCGGCATCAGCGGAGCCACAGCAGCGGAGGGAGCACAAGCCCTGGGTGCACTCATCATGACTCCATGGACCCTTCTGACGAGGAGGGCGCGGGGAGCAGCCTGAGGGGTGGCAACAACAGCGAGCAGTCAGAGACCCTCAGCAGCCTCTCCCTGACATCCCTTTTCTCCCCACCCCCTCCGCCCCCGGGCCGGGCCCTTGTAAAGAAGTGCAACAGCACAAGCAGCCTCAGCGCCAACCCCTCCTCCCGAGGGCCCACGACCAACGAAGCCAAGTCGTTCTACTCGGTTGACCCCCGGGGGTTCCTCTCCATGCCCTCCTGGGTGACGGACTTCTGCAAGGACACCCCCTCGCCGGGTGATGGTGAGGGGTCGGACAGCCCTGATAAACTGGGGACGGCAGACCGCAGCTCCCCACTCCCTTCTGAGCTGGAGCTGGGCAATGGAGTCAGCAAGAGGAACAGATGAGGGTCCCTGGGGTAGGGAGGGGAGCGAGCAGCGTGGGCAAGGGCGCGCCTTGTGCTACCATTTCCCAGCAGCAATTCCAAAGGATTGTGGGGAAAAGAAACACGTAAACACAATATATAAATATATATATATAAATATATATTTAGTAAATACTCTGGTACTGTACCTCCAAGGTGTGAGAGAGCGAAAGCAATATGGCAACATTCCCGCCCATGCGCTGGACCGGGAGCAGCACCGCAGAGACCCCAGTGATGAGGAGGGCACCGCTGGGCTTGGAGGGATTGGGCCCACCAGCCAAACACCTGCCCGGGTGGCAGCCGTTTAGTTATATACATATACATAGAGAGAGAGATTGATTTATTTATTTTTTTTACTGAGCGACTATGACTTCCAGAAAGTGCTAAGCAGGAGAAAGGGTGGGGAGACTTGGGGACATTCTTTTCAAACAGGGAGGGGGAAAGGAGATGAGAACCCAAGGAGGGTTTGGTTGTTTTTGAGAATGTCATTCATCATTCATACTTCCATTTTGAAAATTAATGATCCTGGGCCGGCTCCTCAGCCAGTGTAAATCAGCAGAGCTCCATGGAGGTCCTCAGCTGGAGTAAATCAGTATAGCTTTGGTTTCAGTGGAGAAATGCAAGTTGACATCAGCTGAAGATCTGGCCCAGACAGCAGGAAAACCCAAACGGAGGGGGAGCATTGGAAGTGATTTGAGGTTACTTTGATGAGTGTGTGTGAACGCAGCAGGAATGCTCTGGGAAGGGAGGAGATGGAGGCAACATGGCAACTGCTGAATGTGTTCATTTAATGGTGTGTTTTGTTTTATTTTATTTTATTTATTTATTTACTTGTTTGGGTTTTGTCTTTTTATTTTATTTCCCCCCCACCCCATCCAAAAAAAAGAAAGAAAGAAAGCTGCTAAGAGAAGAAACTCAGATGTTCAGGGTTTGTTTCCCCCCACCTTAGGTTTCTGTAATTGTGACAAATTTTATTTTAGAAGCCCAAAGGCGCAAAAACTGTCTATAGAGAATCGGATCTGTTATTTTTTATATATCTATATCCATGTATACATTACAAGAAAAAGAAACTAGAATTAAAAAAAAAGGCAAAACAAAATGAGCCTCAGTCAGATATTAAGTGCAGTCAGTCCCCAGGCTCAGAGCTGGGGTTTGTGAACCAAACTCTCTTCCCAGTTCCACTGATGTGAATCCACAGTAATGCCACTGAAGTCAATGGGGCTCATTCTGCTCTCACACCGGTGTGACTCTGTTGACATCAGCGGAGTTATCCCTCATTTAAGCATGATCAGAATCCAGCCCAATGGCAGTTGAGGGTGTGAAGGACTTCACAAGATCAGGCTCTGAGGGCAGAATTTGTGTGTGTGCGTGTGTGTGTGCAACATCATGTCTATTTGACTCCCTAGTGACAGTTTTGTGTGTGTGTTTCTCACCTTGGCTGTGTTTTGCAAAGGAGTGTGCACTCATTGTCAGGGAGGTACATGGCTGGTTGCTGATTGGTGTCCATTGATTGTGTGGTATGAAGGCAGATTGGCCCCCAATTCCAGAGGATCTGCTTCAGGATCAAGCTGAAAACAGGAGAATCTGATTCTCTTCCATAACTACTGCAGCAAGCCCCCTGAGACTGCACCCCTGTTTCAGGCCGGCTGTGTGGTCAAGCTTTGCTTCACCATTCATTCTCTCTACTTGTGAGAGTCCATTTTTAAGAACTCATCTGTTTTGTATCCTTTCCAGATTTATGGGTGGATAGGACAGTGGACAAAGAAATGACCTGAAGAGCTTGAAAAAAGTGGGATGCAATCCACAGGCTCACAGGGCTCTGACACGGGTATTTCTGAGAGCAAGAAAGAATGAGAGAAGGGATGAGGCAAAGAGAGGGAAAGGAGCAGGGGGACAGAGAGAGGGAGGTTCAGAGGACATTGCTTCGTCATATTCAGAGAAAAGAATGAATCTCCCACAGGGGTTCCTGTCTAGACATGGTTTCTCTTGGAGGCAAGAGGGCTGGTGCAGCAAACCCCTCTTGGAAGCACCTTCCCCACTGGAATCAGAAGCACTGTGCTGCCTGGTACTGTACAGATTTGCTCATCTGGTTTTTGAGCAGCTGCTTCACCCTATAAACTGGGGCTGTGAACACCAAACGTGTCAAGTGGAACAAAAAAAAAAGGATAAATTAATTTATGTATTTGATTTATTTGTTGAGAGTAATCTATGCTTTGTGGAGAGTGCACAACTCTGACTGCAGGCATGCCGGGGAGGACAGGAAAGCTGGAGTCCCCACCCCGGCAGGAAGGCTGCTGGTCCAGATTAATTAAAGCAATAACAAGGGTTTCAAATGTTTTTTTGCACTGGCTGTTCCTTGGGTGGGTTCTCCCTGCACATTCGATCACTGGAGCAGAAGAAAAAAGAACCATTATGGCTCTATATTACCTGGGAAGAAAATGGTCAATCCATAGTAGACGAAAGACTGAAATTGGCAATTCTAGGTCCAATATTCGATCCAGGAATACTTTGAAATTGGAGACCGGGCTTTACACAACACAGACAGCCTATGCACAGCGTGTCCCCAGTTATTTCAATTGTGGCCTTAGAGAGAATGAGACAAGGAGCTGGGAATCTCAGCTGCACTGGGAGCCGGGTAGACAAGTATCTTGTCTGACCTAGGAATGGGAGAGGAAGCTGGGATGGGAGTGGTGCCAAATCTCCTCCAATATACGGTCACGTTTGAAACAGGTTCTCCTATTGCCGTGTTAATGTCTGTTTATCAACATGGATGGAAGATGAGTCATGTTCCAGGTAAAGCTCAGCTATGTAATACCCTCCCCATGCAGTCCCCAAGAGCGGGGGTGTCGTTCTTGTGATGTGGGGCTCCATTCCATGGGCCAGTGCTATTCCCAATTCAAAGGTGGTACAAGGACCCATGACTATAGAGATCCTAGGCCTTGCTACCTGTTAAGTGGCAGGTAATATTGATTTATAGTACAGCAGAGATCTACACTTTTTAAAACCAATCCCAGCTACCTGGCACCCCAATGTCCCATGCGAGGTTGGTGATAAAAAACAACGTTGAGAGGATGCTTGCTTGTGATGGTCAAGTGACTGACACCAAGAGGTGGTGTCTGTGAAATATATCCTTGTGCTGTCCCCTCTGGAACAGAGAAGGTCATTATGCGCTTGAGACGCTGCCACTTTCAGCAGGAGGTCAGGCTGAGAAATCTGATGTCTTTTTCCATATGCAAACAATATATTTCTGCAGCCAGCATTTAATGGTGGTGCTTCAATTTTATTTTTGTATGCACAGCTGCCTCTGTTTCTAGGCCACCTTTTTATATTGTTAAAAGGTATAGGTTTGACATCTGAGTTGGGACCTTTCAGAGTACTCTATTTGCATACAGTCTAGCCATGCCTGAGAAGTGGCAGATAGGGGTACTGCTTGCATTCTCATTGGCTCGCTTCTGAGGGGATCACCTGGATACCGCATGAACCTAGTTAGCGTAAGGACTCATGAGTGGCCACTAGGTAGATAAGATTAGATTGGGCTTGTATCACACAAAGGAGAGTGGGGAGAACAGCTGTTGCCCCGGAGCTCCTACCATTCCTTCCTCTGCCTCATAAGTATCCCCTGACTTGCAGAGATAAGCATATTCCAAGACTTGCCTAGCTCTGTCATTGTTAGGGTTCGATTCCTCCTGATGAGCCTGTTTAGGAACTACTGGGATACTGGAAAAAACAACCACTCAGTGAACCAGAAAGACATCCCCTACCCGAATTCTTCCTAAGGCTAAGGGCCAGTTCTGGGGGAGAGGAGCGCAGCCTTCACCAATGGCCCTAGTGGAGCCAAGTCACCAAATCCCCACATCTTGTTTCTATAGCTTTCCTTGGGCTCCCATCTATCTTTGACCTCCTGTCATTTTCCAGATCATGGCCATGTCTGTGATGGTGGGTTCCCTGTCACTTGGTCTTCAAAGAGATGGTGAGAGTGGCCCCCAAGAACGGATGCTTTGTCTGCTTCTCCCCAGTCCCGCTTGGAAGCAACTCACAAGGGAAAAGTTCTCTTATTTTTCTGGAAGCTCATTTCCTAGACAATTCTCCCCTTCTCTGCTGAGTCACATGGTCTCCCCCACCTCTCCGACTGCGTGAATTGGCGTGGCCATGCTCATTCCCCTCCGCCTCGTCAAATGGTTTGCACCCTCCACTATACAGCTCATGCAAAAGGCTTCTGGCTTAGGAAAGTGGTTACCATGGAAACAGAGGACTAGGTTATCTTTAGAGAATATTTTGTCTCTCTCTTTTAATTATTTACTAACGGTTTGAAGAAGAAGAAGAAGAAACATTGATTCTTCCCAGAGAGCGGGAGTTGTTAAAACACAGCAGAATTTGTTGTCTTTTCCACCAGGGATTTGTGCACATTCATTTGGATCAGAGCCTGTTCTCTGTATTTGAGAGGGTTCTTTTGGCCTGGTTGGTTTAGCGTTTATGGGGAGCCCATTTTCCCAGGCTCTCTGGGATAGGGGAGCAGGGGAGGGCAGAGCCCTCACTTCTGTGCTCCTGTGGGAATTTCTGAGCTCTCAGAAGCTGAGGCGGGAGGGAGGAGGCCCGTGATGCGTGCGCCCCAGTGACATGAAGGAGGAATCACATGAGCCAGAGGCACTATACAGAGAGGGTTGTCTCCATTCCAGTGTCACCGTTTGACAACAATTGCCATTATGTGGTGTCAGAGATGACTGTTGCTTTCCTCCATACTTGAACTGGAGCTAACTTCTGTAGCTCAGACACCACTGTGTGGTGACTGTTGCTAAGGGCTGATGTTTTAGGTGTGTCTACACTAGGAGATGGAGGTGTGACTCTGAGCTCAAGGAGACATATACATACACCCGCTCGGCTCCTGCCAGCACACCAAAATTGGAATGTAGCTGTGGCAGGGTGAGCAGCGGGGTCAAGAGTTGGCTGCCCTGAGTGTGTGTCTGTCAGAGATGCTAGGTACGT